CGAGGAGTTGGTGGAGCTTGGAGGAGGAGAGGAGAGGGGAGAGGGAGGAGATGAAGAGCTTGAAGGCGAAGAGAGAGGAGGAGAGAGGAGAGAAGCCGAGGATTCGGTGGGCCGAAGCTTGGATTTGGGCTAGGTATTTGCTGCTGCTGTTAGGGTTTTGATGGAGGAGAGGGTGGAGGTCGAGGAGGAGTACGACCCTCTGGGGAGGAGAGAGACTGGGATCCATCGATTCCGATGAGATTGGAGATCCAGAGGGCTGAAGTTAATTGGGGGGGAACAGTGGGGTGGAGGGCGGATGTTGAAAATTTTGGCGGGAAATCTAGACGTAGACCTATAATTTATGTTATATGGACAAATAAATTGGCCTGTTGGAAGTATAAGAGAAGGGACATAAAGTTAAACAATAGACACGTAGAGAAGGACAAGAAAAAAATGACATTATTTGGGAATTTAGCAAGGGGAATCTAAGTAAATTTCACTTATCTGTTTGGGAGTTTACTAAAAATGAGAGAAGTGAAGTGAATATATGTAAAGTTACATAAATACCCTTATATTTTATTAAAAACATTTTTATCAACTAATAAATAACAAGCGTAAAACTATTTCTCTATATTGTTAAAAGTTAAACTGTTCATTTTACATCCTTTACCGCCCTTTTTTTTACATTATTTTTCATTCTTTAAGCCCCTCAAAGATACTGCTAAATAAAAGTCTTGTGAATTTTAACTTTCCCTATCCTTCTGTAACCCCCATCCAAACACATTATAAGGGAAACCAACTGAGAAAAGAGAAGTGAAGTTAATCACTACCCCTTCATTACATCTTTGTGTTGTTGAGGGTGAACTAAGGCGGAGTAGGGGGATTGGGGGCTCTTCATCCATAAAAAAACAATCAAAACAGTCTGAATATTTCCCCCTACCTTCCCTTCCCCTTTATTCGCTTCAATCTCCAATGCGACCTACTCAAATCTCCCAAAACTCAGAACCCAGCTCCATTCACACTTGTCAACTATTCAATCAAAATGTAAAGAGTAAAAATATAAATTTTAGATATGCTTTGATTGCTTATTAATCATCCAATAACATTATATCTTACTGTTATATTTCAGGAGGTGTATTATAGTCAATACTTCGAACAGTAGTATTGATAGTTTGGAGCTTCTATATTTGCTTCAAGGAGGCTGTCTTGATGATCATGTAGGTTTATCTTCTTAGCAATCTTTATAGTATCCTGTTAACTTTCATTCTTACATGTTAATTTTCATTCTTACATGTTAGTTTTGTGGGTCACGGAGGCTTTGAAAGACAGATTAAGCGCATGGTTAGAGAGACTAGAAAATAGCTCATTGAACAAGGAATTTGGAGTCATATCATTTTTTTTTTGTAAGCACCAGATCAAACCTCTAACCCTCTTCACATCTATTTTACAATTTATATAACATTATCTTGTTTGAAATACAGTATAGTCTATATGCCAAAACTCTTGATTTTGCAAATCTATATTATTTGTTTATACAAAAGCATATTGTCACGAGTAAGAAGATTCTATTTGTCCTCCTTGTGCGCCAAGACCACTGACATCTTGCTGATAATCACATTTTATTATAATTTTATACCATCATTATCTATTTTATATAAATAAATATACCACTAATAATTGCTTTTATCTTTAATTGCAGGTTAATGAAGAATAAGAGCCCAAACTCTCATCTCTCAACAAAAAGCCCTTGATTTAATGAAGAAATGAAGCCCATGAAGCCAAAGGAATTCTTTCAAATATTTAATGAAGAAATAATTCAAAGCCCAATGGAAAATCAAGAGAAAATGCCAAGCCCAAAAGTACAAGCCAAAGCCCAAGACACAAGCCCAAAAGCCAAGAGTTCTGCGGACAGCAACCAGAAGAAGGCAGGCATCGATGCCTGCATCGATGGGGGCATCGATGCCTGCATCGATGCCTGTATCGATGCCTGCATCGATACTATCGTACAGTTTGTTATAGATCTAAGGCTAAAATTTATTGTTTTTGGATAAGATTTCAATCCAATGGCTATCATTCACTGATGTTTACTATAAATAGGGGTAGAGAGTGAGGGGTTAAGGATGAGAAAAATTTTGTAACTCCATTTGGAGAGGAGGGCTACTCTCAATTGAGAAGGCCTTCCAAAAATTATAACTTTAGTTGCAATTAATAATAATAATTTTTCTCCACTTTAAATTTATTCTTTCTCCTTTGTTGAATGATGAGGATGGAGATGAAGAGAAATTTAAAGGTTTGCATTTCTTTTCTCTTTTATTTCTTTTTAGTAATTTCTTTATTATTGCTTATTAGTTAGATTTAAATTCATGCTTGTAGTGTAGATTTATTTTCTTGTCTTTTTATTTCTTTTTGCACTTTAATTTGTAGAGTAGATTTATTTTCTTGCATTTAATTTTTGTAATATATTTTGTAGTTTAGATTTTAATTCTTTGTAGTTAGATTTATTTCTTGTTCATAGTTTAGATTTTTATTTTCTTTTTAATTTTGTAATTAGTTCTTTTTCTTCTTGTTTTTATTTCTTAAGATGTGAAATTAATTCTTGTAGGAATCTTAGAATTGTATGATGCTAGTCTAATTTCCTTTATAGTATGCAAATTATTCTCTTCCATTTAAAATGTTCATGTTTAGGATAATCGACTAGAAAATTAATCAGTAGAAGAAGAATTTGATAATCTATGTTTATCTTAAATGGTTTGATAGGTTATGCTTATGAATTCTAGGATTACCATCTTGTTGTTGTTCTTATCATGAATAGTAATTTTGATTTAGATGATAATTTGATAGGTTATACTTTCCTTAAATGGTTTGATAGTCTATGCTTAATAAATCTAAGTTGAAATATGATAAAAAGAGAATAGTTTGTATTTTGTAATTGAAATTTGCTAGTGGATTAAATTCTAGATTTCTCATATCTTAAATTGAATCATCCATCTTAACTTTCTTGAATTTTCTTTTCATTCTTGATTTATTTCTTGATTTTATTCATTCCTCTTTCTTGCCTTGTGATTTCATTTATTCTTTAATTCTTTCTTCTCTCCTCTAAAAATTCAATTTATTGTCTCTTGCATATATTCACAACAATCACTCATAATAATCACATTTATTCTTTAATCTTATTTTGTCACGCACACAATATAAGAACATATTCTAATAATCTCTTAAAATCACCTTCCTCGTGGGATCGATAACTTTTTATACTATAACTTGATCAATTGTGCATTTGCAATTTTGGTACATAATTATGTGGGATCGATAACTTTTTATACTATAACTTGATCAATTGTGCATTTGCAATTTTGGTACATAATTATGTCGCATCAAGTTTTTAGCGTCGTTGCCGGGGAAGGTGTTAAAATAGGATTTTATTATTTTGGTTCTTTAACTTGTGTGTTTTCTTGTGAATGAATCGCTCGGAGCTTGAAAATCTTGGATTGAAGATCAAGAATTTGGAGAATTGCTTTGGGTAAGTCCTCTTTCTAGTTTTCAATTTCACCCTTTTAGTTAGCTTCACAATTAGCGACAATTAGGATTTAAAAAAAATTATTTTTGTTGACCATAATAAAATCAATCTTTCACTTGGACATTAACTAAAAAGATAATAAACTCAAACAATGTTCCCCCTTCTCACATTTGATTTTTGTTGACCGTAATTAAAAAATATAAAGATTTTTTTATCATCCTTTTTAGTCGCTTTTAATTTCTAGGGTTGCATTTCATATAGTGTAGGAATTCACCAAAGTGATTGTAGCACTTGATTTGGCACATACTTAAAACATTCTTAAGGGCAAAACTCATAATCAAGATAAGGTAAGGGATTTCATCACCCTTTCCTTAGCCCACAAATCACTAATTCCTCATTTCACAAACCCAAGCCTTCTAAAACTCATTAGACGTTGGCCCCTAAGGATTTGAGCTCAATAAGGAACAAGAAATCTTTAAGTGAACGGTTTAAGTTTTCTCAAAATAGTTGGTGTCTAAGGCAAGGTTTAGGGGTTGCGTAAAGCGCTCCGCAAGAAAAGAGGTACTTAATTGATCTTTGATCACCCTCTAGTACTATCCTTACCTAGCTAACTACCTGGGTAAAACTTTGATCTTTTCACTGTAGGAGTTTTTGGTTAGGAGCTGGTCTAGTTGAGTTAGGCTAAACCCTAGAATTAGAGTTGCTTGAAAAGTGATTGCTTTGATTTGTTAGGATTTTTCTTTTTCTTTATCTTTTCATATAAAAAAAAACTAATTTTCTTTCTTTCCTTAAAAAAAATTTGTTTTGGTGTATGCAAACTTGGGTTCGGGATAATTCTCATCGTTTAATTCGTGTTGAACCAATCCAAGAAATGGCAAACCAACCAGTTCTTCAGGATATGTGTTACCCCACCAGAAATACAATTACATCTTGCATAAGGCTTCCCGAAGCAAATGGGGCAAATTTCGAGCTTAGACCGCATTACATAAACATGCTTCCCAAATTCCTAGGTAATAAAACAGAAGATGCATATATTTTTATCTCGGAATTTGAGGAAGTGTGTATTATGATTAAAATGAGAGAATTAACCGAAGATGCAATTAAGCTCAGATTTATTCCATTTGCCCTTAAGGACAAAGCTAAAAAATGGCTGTACAGCTTACCGACAACTTCCATCTCAACTTGGGAGGAATTTGTCACCGTTTTTCTTAAGAAATTTTTCCCTATTCACAAAACGGTAAAGCTCAGGAACAGCATTCAAAACTTCAAAATTATCCCGGGAGGGCCATTCTAGAAATACTTTGACCGATTTAAAGATCTTTTAATCCAATGTCCTCATCATGGTCTAGAAAAATGGCGATTGTGCCAAGTCATATATGAAGGATTGGACTATTCTTCAAAAACATCTTTAGAATCGATGTGTCAGGGAGATTTTATGAGAAAAAACGCTGATGAAGCTTGGGAATTCCTAGAGAGT